ATCACCCTGCCCTCTTCAACTGTGGAGCTGGTGTTCCACTGGGTGACTTAAAAGGAAAAAAAACTCTTTAAATCAGGGACAGCTAGAAACTTGTCATTTCAAAGCCCATTCTTCAAATCGTACATTGGGACCTCATCCAGGAACACCAGTTTATAGTACGGGACAAACAGAGACTGTGACATTTCACTGTCGTATATCTCCTGGTGGAAACGTAGGATCTGGACCATATCCCTGTTATAATACAACTACAAACTTTCCATTTAGAATACCTGTTCCTCCCTAAACCCAATCTTAACACCCTAGGATTTGACCCCTTCAGGGCATATCTGGTGATGATGAAATTGTATCATTGGAAAATCTACCTTCCAATGCAATTGATGATGCAATCAGGTCCCTGCATAATCGAAATTTTTGAAGCTACTAAATGCAACTTGCCAATTAGCTTCCACAAAGATATACCAACAATATTAAACCTACTAGGGAAATTAGAGACAATTTAAGAAATTATCAAGCAGAATATCGAAGGCATCTTTCAAACGCGGGCAACCACCAGTAGCTACACTGCACCGATTAAGGCACGAATTAATTAACATGATTAGTCATCACAAACGGGACATATGGAAATTTGTAGTTCTTCAAGCTAATCAGTATCAACGTGAACCAGCAAAAATTTTGGAGTAAGATCTCGACAAACCCTTTTTGGGGCAAAGCACAAGGCTCCTAACTACCTAGTTCATACCATCACTGATGAGGATGATGAAGATGTTGAAATTAAACTTGACGATCCACAGGACCAGGCTAATTTGATGGGTGATGTATGGGAGAAAATTCTCTCCCATAATAACAGTCGTCAATTTAATAATAATCATTATCAGTTGGTCAATGAATGGAGAGATGAGAACTTGGATGATCTACAACCACTACCTTGCATCGATACTTCAACTCTTGAAGATGCCCACCCGCTTACTAGACCTATTACATTACTAGAGATGAGTCAGGTTATTGGAAGAATGAGAAATAGAGCCCCTGGCCTCTCTGGAATAACAATGAAACAAATAAAGTACCTACCTAGAAATTGTAAACAGTCTTTGGTTTAAAAATTTTTTTAATGCCATCTTGGCCTCAGGGGCATTTTTCCAGTTGTTTTTAAACTGCTGATGATCTTTCTTGCTAAGCCCAATAAAGACATCACCAACCTGGGAACTATAGACCTATATCTTTACTTGGGAAATCACTTTGGAAAAGTTCTTGAGAAGTCATTCCAACAGATTGAACTACTATATGGAGTTTAATCACGTTTTTACTGAAAAACAATTTGGCTTTAGAACACATTAGAGGTCCAATCATGCAATTTAAAAGTTATTTTCGATACGTAGCAAGTCTAAAAACATCAGGGCAAAACTTGCCTTAATTGCCACCAGAGATGTTCATAAAGCTTTTGAAGGGTTATGGCATGATGGGCCTTTATAACAAACTTATTGACCTACCAGACCCTAAAATGGATTTTTTCTCAGATTAATATATAATTTCTTAACTCAACGAAAAATCATTCCCACCTTTCATGGAGGTCGACAGAACCTTTTATACCCAAAAGCTGGTGTCCCCCAAGGTCTTGTCTAAATCCAATTCTGTTCAACATTTATGTGAATGACCTTCCCCAACCGAGTTTAATGATACAATTGTGGGCACAGTTTGCCAGATGATGTTATTCATGTCGTCTCATCAACTCCGGTAACAGGAAAATTACAAGTATTGGGGAGGAGTCATAGAAAAAATGAATATTGAACTTGTAGAACATCTAATTGGGAAAAGAAATGGAGAATTACGACTAATCCCGACAAGGTCCTTTTTAGCACGATAGGTTTTTTTGCATCAACAATTGAAGAAAAAAGGGGGTATCTCCATCAGAGGTACACCTTAGCCATTAGAAACCCTAACAAGATCTTGGGATATGAAATAGACAGGCTGCTCCACTCAAAATCTCATGTAACAAAAGATCAACACAGCCAAAGCCGGGTCTTAGCAGACTCTTTTCGATTCAATCAAGCCCCTCAACATGTCAAAAAACATCTGTATAAAATGATAATAAGACCAATACTCAAATACCCTTGTGTCCCAATGTCATTAACAACAAAGACCAACAAAGCTACGGTTACAAAAAGGGTCCAGAATAGAGCTCTTGCTTTATTACCGATACCAGGAGGAGAGACAGAGTTAAATGGCAGATTTACACACACAACAGGTTATTACTGTATAAATGTACGCCTTGACACCCTAAAAAAGAAAAAAACTTTATACAATGCAAGAACTATACATGCCAGATTTGAGAACATCCTATACAAGTGGTAAATACCACAGATTATACCATCAATTACCCCTCCTCACAGGACTCAAAGAATGACTCTCCACAGAGGGTCGTTTGCTTTATACTTAAAGATTTATTACCCTCGACCCATGATATTGAGAACCTCCCCGATGAAGAAAAATTGGGTACCACCAGAACCCTTCTATGTATACTGAGAACATCATCGCCCCCAATTAGGGAGACATCTTATATAACTTTCTAATGTAAAATTATGTTATTTACTATGGCTGGACACCACCTGTAAGAAGCCATTGTCACGAAATTATAAACTGGCCAGAAAATTGCCTTTATTGTCGCATAAATATCCGTTGTGCAATCGCAAAAAAAAAAAAAAAAAAAAAAAAAAAAATGCAACTTGTATAATTACTACCAATTCAGAGTCGTGTACTTATATTCTGTTATATCTATGTGACTCTGATGGGTTAGTCTTATACCCCTTAAAGAATATCTTATCATTTCAGGTACACTTTTTAAATTACACCAAAGTGGTTGGGCCACTTACCTTTTATATCCTACCTCTCTCCCCCCTCCCACCCTTTTCCAAAATTTCTATCCTTACCCATCCTTCTTCCTTACCCATCTTACCAAAGCTCTGGTCTGGATACCGAATACCGAATACTTCCTACGAACATATTCCTGCAGGATGAACAACACTCCTGGCTACATGATCAACTTGATTACACTTAGTGACCAGTTGTGTACATAAGAACATAATTAGGGAGCACTGTAGCAGGTAGGAGGCAGGAGCTGACCTTCATGGGAGTAGATACCTAAGGTGGGTAGAGCACACACACCTTCACAGGAGAACCTATAAGAACATAAGAACATAAGAAAGAAGGAACACTGCAACAGGCAACCCATGCGGAGCAGGTCCATGTCCCCCCCCCGGATTAGACCAATGACCCCCCCCCCCGGATTAGCCCAAAGACCCACCCAGTCTGGTCATCTCCACTCAAGGATGGAACACTGCACCAGACCCAGCAGCACAAGCTAGTCAGGTCCAACTCACACCCACCCACACCCACTCATGTGTTTATCTAACCTATTTTTAAAACTACACAACGTTTTAGCCTGAATAACTGTACTCGGAGTTTGTTCCACTCATCCACAAACTCTATTACCAAACCAGTGCTTTCCTACATCCTTCCTGAATCTGAATTTTTCCAACTTGAAACCATTGTTGCGAGTCCTGTCTTGGCTGGAAATTTTCAGCACGCTATTTACATCCCCTTTATTTATTCCTGTTTTCCATTTATACACCTCGATCATATCCCCCCTAATTCTACGCCTTTCGAGAGAGTGCAGATTCACGGCCCTCAGTCTATCCTCATAGGGAAGATTTCTGATACATGGGATCATCTTTGTCATCCTCCTCTATACGTTTCCAGAGCATTTATATCCATTCTGTAATACGGTGACCAGAACTGAGCAGCATAGTCTAAATGAGGCCTAACCAAGGATATACAGAGTTGAAGAACAACCTGAGGACTTCTATTATTTATACTTCTAGATATGAAGCCAAGAATTCTGTTAGCTTTATTGCGAACACTAATGCACTGTTGTCTTGGTTTTAAATTACTGCTAACCAGAACTCCTAAATCCTTTTCGCAATCAATAGTATTAAGATCTACATCATTTAGTTTATATGTGGCATGGTTATTTACCTGTCCAACATTTAGAACTTTGCATTTGTCAATATTAAACTGCATCTGCCACTTCTCCGACCATTGCATCAGTCTATTCAAATCATCCTGGAGTGCTCTAGTGTCCTCATTAGAATGAATTGGACGGCCTATTTTGGTGTCATCAGCAAATTTGCTTATGTCGCTATTTATTCCCTCATCTATGTCGTTTATGTAAATTGTGAACAACAACGGGCCCAACACCGACCCCTGAGGAACACCGCTTGTGACGTGCCCCCATTCTGATTTCTCCCCATTTATGCAAACTCTCTGCTGTCTATTTGCCAGCCATGCCTCTACCCAGGAAAAAACTTCTCCTATTCCATGTGCCTTAAGTTTCCTCAATAGCTTCTGATGTGGAACTCTATCGAAAGCCTTACTGAAGTCTATATACACAATATCATATTCATTACCATGATCTACCTCCTCAAACACCTTAGTGAAAAAAGTTAGTAAATTCGTAAGACAGGAACACCCCTTTGTAAAACCGTGTTGAGATTCATTAAACAATCTGTGCCTGTCAAGATGGCTACGAATTGCTTCGGCAATTATTGATTCCATAAATTTTCCCACTATGGAGGTAAGGCTTATTGGTCTATAGTTCGAAGCCAAGGACCTGTCACCTGCCTTGTAAATAGGTATTACATTTGCCATTTTCCACTTATCAGGCACTATGCCAGTTTGTAGTGATATGTTAAAAAGATTAGCCAAAGGTATGCTAAGTTCCTCTTTACATTCCTTTAACACCCTTGCAAACAGTTCATCAGGACCTGGGGATTTGTTAGGTTTTAGTTTCTCTATTTGTCTGAGAACCATGTCACTAGTTACCGCAATCGTACATAGTTTATTATCCTGTTCTACATAATCTATTATTTCAGGAATATCGCTAGTATTTTCCTGGGTGAAAACTGAGAGGAAGTAGGTATTTATAATTTCACACACATCCTTATCACTGTCAGTGATCTGACCAGAGTTACTCTTAAGTGGGCCAGTCTTGTCCCTAATCTTACTTCTGTATACCTGAAAGAATCCTTTAGGGTTAATCTTTGAATCCCTTGCGACCTTAGCAAGCTATGTATATAAGTGTATAATACTGACCTTGACTAGGGAAAGTTGTGGGTGGAGTGTGCATAACACTGACCTTGACCAGGGTAAAGCTATGTAAGGGTGTGTTGGTGATGCTGACCTTGACCAGGGGAAAGCTGCGTTTGGGTGTGGATAATACTGGCCTTGACGAGGGGAAGCTGTGTAAGGTGATATTGACGTTGACCAGAGAAAAGCCGCGTGAGGGTGTGGATAACATTGACCTTGACAAGGGGAAAGCTGAGTGAGGGTGTGGGTGACACTGACCTTGACGGGGATGCAGATGAGTATTAGAAGGAGGTCAGCGCTAGCCAGGGAGGCCAGGAAGACGTTGGTGGTGGTCTTGAGACGACGGTAGCGACAGATTGTGAAGATGATGAGAGAGTTACCCACTACACCAACAACGTACGTCACTCCGTACACCACCAGCGGCGGCGCTAACTGACGCCAGAAGAAAGTCTCTAGCGCCGCCTCGTAGTCGTAGTCGTAGTATGTCTCGTTCCCGGTGACGTTCTTCAACGACTGGTTCAGCGCGATATTCACGTCGTCGAGGTTGAATTCCGCATCTGTTCCAGAGTCTCTGATTGGTTCAGTCCAGCCGGCTGGAATATAAGCAGACGCATTCTGACTAGGGATCAGGAATGGCCATCTGGTGGTGCTGACATTCTCTTCGTTCCAGGAGCTATCTAGGGTGTTCCAGGAATTGGTGGTATTCCACAGGGAAAGGGGATCCCTAGACTCCTCTGGGAAAGATGCTGCTGATGCTGGCTTTTCCGTCATTATTAAAACTCACATAAGCTGCTCTTAAATTCAACTCAAAATTCTCACTCACACCGTTCGAAATTATTCCACATTTTGGGTTACATTATGATCAACAGTTCCCATGAAGTACATTGGTCTTAGCAAATTTCTTACAGGTACAGTCTTTGTTTTCAGAACAATTACCACTCTTTTCTCAAACTACTGCAGGATGGAAATAGATATGAAGACATTCACTATACTTCGCTAGTTCTCGGGAATAATCACGTCCATCTTCAAGAAGTCTGCGACCCTGAAAATGAACAGACATCAGAATCAAGATACCATACTAGAAATGTCACAATAATATGAACGCAATCTGGACGTCCAGCAATTTAATGCATCTGACAATACATAAATCGGGTCTAAGGGTATATACACCGAGAGGTATCATAACAATACTGGTAAGATGAGACATTAGACATATGCAACACCTGGGTATCTTTATGACTAGTCAGATATTTTCAAATACAGACACCCAGGTGTTCTGTGTAAATTTAATTCTACGCTTATAGGTACCTATACCTCACTGTATATACAATGAGAGTTTAATCTCAATGATTTAATTCTTATTTGGTGGTGAAACAGATTACTTGTAACCTTAATGACGTCCGTGTAGTTGATAGGCTTGAAATCCATTTAACTATCCATCTGGTCTACAAATATTGGCTGGTTAAATCTGCACTTCTAATCCAGTGGGAGAATACCAATCAGACTCAACCACAAGATTTTCTTCGGCTTATTAACCCAAATAATTTTTAATTTGTAACCAGAGGGACCCAGAAAAGCCAAGCAGTGTATCATGCTTGCGACTCTTTTACTGTAAGATAAACACACGAGGATACCCACCCCGAGTGACTAACTCTTAGGTACCTATGTAATGCTATGCTAGGCGCTAAGTGTAAGAAGACTATGATTATCGCCTGGGTCAGGACTCGAACTGGAGTATTCACGATTGTAAACTGTAGGTTTCAATATAAGCAGGCTCACTTCCGGCACAGTAGAATGCATTATTATTATTATTATTATTATTATTATTATTATTATTATTATTATTATTATTATTATTACTGGAAAGGGTTAATCGCGAAGAAGCCATACAGCGTCAGGGAAAGTGGAGGTAAGCAAATTTAATCCAAGGAAGGGAAGGATGGTTCGAATACCTTGAATCAAGAGCCTCTCACTAACATCAACACACCTTTCTTGAAATGTGTATCAAGAAGAAGCACGGGAAAGCACCCGAGGAAAGCCCAGAGGAAACGTAGCCCACAAGCAACGTTTTGCTCTCTGTAGAGCTTTATCCTGACTTGGCGAAGCTCTACACAGAGAAAAAGCGTCTTTTCAAGGGATTTGTGGTCGATACGTGCCATCCTACATCGGCCCCCGCCGCTGCCGTCGCCCCCGCCGCTGCTGCCGCCTCCGCCGCCGCTGCCGCCGCCGTGCTGTTCACCGACGCGGAACGCAAGATCTTCCGACAATGTTAAATTTTATCTGCGTTCGCTCGCGAGAACCACATTTGATTTCACCGTCGACTGAACACGAAAGCCGATCACTTTGATATATCTAATTCCTAGAGCAGCGACTCCCAATGTTTTCGAAATCAAGGAACGGTCTTGAATCTAGAAAAAAAATATTATAATCATAAGCGCTAAATCCTTAAGGGTCAATACTCGAAGTTAATTGAGACGACGCAATGGAATTCAGTAACGGCAGGAGTCTCCTAGGGGGGGTCTGCGCTGCCCTTTCATGAGTCCTAGCTCCCTTTCAGGGGTCCGCTCCCCCCTTTTAGGAGTCCTAGCCCCCTTTCAGGGGTCCGCTCCCCCCTTTCAGGAGTCCTAGCCCCCTTTCAGGGGTTCGCTCCCCCCTTTCAGGAGTCCTAGCCCCCTTTCAGGGGTCCGCTCCCCCCTTTTAGGAGTCCTAGCCCCCTTTCAGGGGTCCGCTCCCCCCTTTCAGGAGTCCTAGCCCCCTTTCAGGGGTCCGCTCCCCCCTTTCAGGAGTCCTAGACCCCTTTCAGGGGTCCACACCCCTTTCAAGGGTCCGCGCCCCCTTTCAGGGGTCCGCGGACCCCAGTTTGAGAAACGTAACCATAGAGGAATATTATTTATTGATCTTCTTAAAGATAAATAATACCATTTTTATAATATTTATTACTATTAGTTTATTGTGGCAGGGGAGAGCGCTAAACCAGGAGGGGTCATACAGTGCCTGGGGAAGGGGAATTGAAGAGGTTTGATCTCACGGCTCCAGTTGCTAGAATCAAGAGCCCTAGTTTTTTTTAGGATGAAGGACTCTAGTTTTTTTGGATTCAGGAACCTAGTTGCCAGGATCAAGGGCCTTAATTGCCAGGATCAAGGGCCTTAGTTGCCAGGATCAAGGGCCTTAATTGCCAGGATCAAGAGGGCCTTAGTTGCCAGGATCAAGGGCCTTAATTGCCAGGATCAAGAGGGCCTTAGTTGCCAGGATCAAGGGCCTTAATTGCCAGGATCAAGAGGGCCTTAGTTGCCAGGATCAAGGGCCTTAATTGCCAGGATCAAGAGGGCCTTAGTTGCCAGGATCAAGGGCCTTAGTTGCCAGGATCAAGGGCCTTAGTTACCAGGATCAAGGGCCTTAGTTGCCAGGATCAAGGGCCTTAGTTGCCAGGATCAAGGACCTTAATTGCCAGGATCAAGAGGGCCTTAGTTGCCAGGATGAAGGGTCCTAGCTACCAGGATCAAGGACACACCACTGGGATCAAGCGGCCTCCTTCCCTCCGTTCCTCCTTCCTACCCTCCTCCTCAGTTCTTCTACTTCCTTCCTCCTCCTTCCCCTCCACTTCCTCTTCCGTCTTATCTTCTTCACGAAGCTTCTCACGGCTTCATATACATTGATTTATTTCTTTAGGAATTGAGGACTAAACTATAAACATCGTTCAGCACTGAAGGAGAGAGAGAGAGAGAGAGAGAGAGAGAGAGAGAGAGAGAGAGAGAGAGAGAGAGAGGTGTGATTTTCTAAATGGTCCAAGTCGGACCGAAACGTCGTCGTAAGGTCCTCTCACCTATGTGCAGTTATTTGTGTATTGTTCCAGTCACCGTATTGTGCCTTTTTATTCTTCTAGACAGACAGAAAAAAATGGCAAAAGGTACGAGTAATGAGGAAGGTTCAGGCCAACTCTGATGTTTACACACACGCGGCAAGACGGCCATTGTACGAACGATGGTGACTGTGTTTCATTATTTTTTGAGGGGGATGGAGGGAAAGAAGAGAGTTATGGGTCACTTCACCTCGGTGGTAGACGGTTGGTACGATAAAAAAAAAAACGAAAAAACCGGCAATAGACTCGAAAACAAAAATAGCAAAAATAAGTAAAAATCATCATAGCAAAATAAGGTTTTAGAAAAGAATGAATTTATCTTTATTATGGCGAAATAAAAAAGTAGGATAATTTTATTAGGAATATAAACCTAGAGAGGAAGGAAGGAAGGAAGGAAGGAAGGAAGGAAGGAAGGAAGGAAGGAAGGAAGGAAGGAAAGAAGGTGTAGAGATAGGCAGGAAGGAAGGAAAGAAGGTGTAGAGATAGGCAGGAAGGAAGGAAAGAAGGTGTAGAGATAGGCAGGAAGGAAGGAAAGAAGGTGTAGAGATAGGCAGGAAGGAAGGAAAGAAGGTGTAGAGATAGGCAGGAAGGAAGGAAAGAAGGTGTAGAGATAGGCAGGAAGGAGGGAAAGAAGGTGTAGAGATAGGCAGGAAGGAGGGAAAGAAGGTGTAGAGATAGGCAGGAAGGAAGAAACGCAGTCCCAGGAAGGATTGGAAGGGAAAGATGTGAGGGAGGTTTTAAGTGGTAAGGGCTTGAGCATCCGGCAGGTATATGTGCGTTTCAGATCCGAGTAAGGGAAGAGGAGCGACTCGTGGCTTAAGGCGCTTACACATTCGTGGAGTTCAAGGTCTATTTAAGAACCTTAGCCACTCAAAATTTTGTATACCAGATTTCAAAAATCTACAACCTGTCGGAGTTGCCCGAAATACGTCTGTTTGGTTTCATTATTCTGGGGAAGATCTAAACCCGTAAGGGGTTATGCAAGGCCTGGGATAATGCAAGAGAAAAATATTAGGTTTGATCCGAGAGGAAGAGCAGCTTCAATTGCTTAGATCAAGAGCCTTCGTTAAGCATCAAGGGCACCCCACTCCTTGATGGGACGGAGGTAAGAGGTTAGGAAGTATTTTTTTTTATCAGAATGTAACTCGGGAGAGCCTTTATGGCGCCACTGCTGGTTCAGGAGAGGCCAGGGGAGGCGGGGATCATGGTCCGAGACCACTGCTGGTACTGGTTCGGTTTAGGAAAGCCGCAGATCAATGCTGGTCCAGTGTTTGCTTCCGCGGGGGTCATCACCAGACACCAATCGTGGTCCTGTGCGAGGGCTGGTCCAACGTTGGTTTCCCGCGGGGACCATGGTCAGAGACCAGTCGTGGCCCTATGCCAGGGCTGGTCCAGTGATGGCCTCCCACAAGGGCCATCATCAGAGACCAATCGTGACCCCATTCGAGGGCTGGTCCAGTGATGGCCTCCCACGGGGGTCATCATCAGAGACCAACTCTGGTCCTGAGCGAGGCCGGGAGAACTCACGGTCGGAGACCAGTGCGGAGCCTGTGTGAATTTAAACCAGACCATAGTCATGGTCCACGGACAAAACGGAAGCTGGAAAAAATCCCCAAGAAAAAGAGAATCGAATCCTTGACGAGAGAACAAACAGGCGAGGAGATGGAATACTCTCAAACCTCCTCAGTCTGGCGAGAAGCCTCATTTGCAGTTAAATTTTTGTTACGGTGTTTCGCACAGAGACTTTACCATACCTGATAAAAGAGGACAGGACACATGTGCAACACTTGGGTATCTATTGATTGACACGTTTCGCCCAATCAGTGGCTCCATCAATTCAATAGAGAGAATTAAATAGAGAAGAATGACGCGAAGAAGGAATTTGACGTGTCTGACCTCACAGTGTCGTTGAAATCCTGAAAAATCACATAAAATCCTGCAAAATCCTGTAAAATCCTTTTAAAATACTGTAAAAAATCTTTAAAATCATTTAAAATACGGTAAATTCATTTAATATACTGTAAAATCCTGTAAAATCCTGTAAAATTATTTAAAATCGTGTAAAATCACTTAAAAATCTGTAAAACCTTTAAAATCTTGTAAAATCCTTTAAAATACATTAAAATCCTTGGAAATACTGTAAAATGCTTGAAAATATTGTAAAAATCCTTTAAAATCTTTTA